TATAACCTCTCCAGAGAGCATACTAAATCAATGATCCGTCGCGAAGAGTTGTTTCTTTGTTGTTGTTATTATTATTATTATTATTATTAATGTTGATATTATTGTTATAGCAGTTGTTGTTATCGTTAGTGTTATTGTTGTCGTTATTATTGTTGCTATTGTTGTTTTTGTTGTTAAGGTTATTGTTGCTGTTGTATTGAAATGATGTATGAGGATTTTTTTAAAACTCGAAACACTCCGCTCAAAGTTTACAACTTTATATACTACCAATAAGTTGAGTTGTTGAAAGTAACCGTGGCGATACAATAAGTATTATAAATAAAGGTTGTAGTGCAATACAATACAACACAGTACAATGCAATACAATAGTATACAATACAATACAAAACAATACAATACAATACAAAACAATACAATACAATACAAAACAATACAATGCAATTCAATTCAATTCAATGCAATTCAATACAATACAATGCAAAACAATACAATACAATAATGTAATTGTTGTAATACTGCAATACTTTAGTAATGTTACTCGGCTCTCGTGTTTTGCTTTACACAATCGAGTGTCTTTAATTTAGTAAAAGCAGTTGCAGAAACTAGGAAAGTAATGAGAAGTATTTTTAGTTGAAAGTTACAGTATTAGTAGTAGTAGTAGTAGTAGTAGTAGCAGTAGTAGTAGCAGTAGTAGCGGTAACTGCAGAACTTGTAATAGTAGTGGTAGTAGCGGTAGTAAAAGTAGTAATAGTAGTGGTAGTAAAAGTAGTAGTAGTAGTGGTAGTAGTAGTAGTAATAGTAATTTTTGTAGTAGAACTAACTTCAGAAAGATGTAATAGGTATAGTTGGTGTTGTATCAACATATGCGCCAGTTGTTGTTTGTCAGTTTCTATTGGGAACAATAGGTACAAGAAATAACATACACGCACACGCACGCGCACATACAGACACATACAAACAGATAGACAGGCGTTTGTACGTGCGTGCGTGTTACTAGCTTTCGTAGGTGCAAAGATGCCATTTTTTTAATTAAAAATAATTTAAATATGAAAAAATGTAGTAATGATGATGAAAATAATAACAATAAAAAGAATAATAATAATAATAATAAAAATAAAAATAATAATAATAGACATGAAGGTTTAAAAAATTATGATGGGTACCTGCGTTTATTTTTATTTGAATTCGGAGACAATAAGCATAACATTCATCTATCTTTCTTTCTCTCTCTTCCTCTCTCTCTCTCTCTTTCTTTTTATATCTCTCTCTTTCTCTTTTTTTTATCTGCTCTCTTTCCCTCCGTCTTTTCTCTCTCTCTTTTTCTTTTTCTATCTTTCTCTCACTTCCATCGTCTGTGGCTTTGTGTGCGTTCCTCGGTCTCCTCCATTGAAAATAATTTCATTCATTCATTCCCGCCTTTTTCATTCCATTTCATCTCTCTATCCATATATCATTTTATTCGTTCTCTTTCTTTTTTCTCTCTCTCCTCTCTCTCTCTCTGTCTCAGTTTTTTGTTATTTTCATTCAGTTTTTACTGTACTTGAACTTTCTCTCATTCATTATCTTCTACCCCCTATCTACGCCATCATTATTTTTTAAGTAATAGGAACAATGCACTTTCATTCAATCATTCATTCATTCATTCATTCGTTCATTCTTTCATTCGTTTGTTTGTTCGTTCGTTCGTTCGTTCATTCATTCAGTACAAAGTTGCTTCAGCAGTACTAAGTACAATGCTTGCTTATATGTGTGTTTGTATGCGTGTTATTAATTAAGTATGTCGGTGCTTCTTTATACATATGTGTTAAATGTAATTGTATGTTTGTTTTTATAATTTATATGTCTGTGTGTATTTACAATCTGTAAATGTTTATGTGTTTCTTTGTTTGCACGTATGTATGTATGCATGTTTGTATGTATGTATGTATGTATGTATGTATGTATGTATGTATGTATGTATGTATGTATGTATGTATGTATGTATGTATGCATGCATGCATGCATGTATGTATGTATGTATGTATGTATGTATGTATGTATGTTTGTATGTCTGATGATATACACGTGTATGTATTTAGTTTTGAAAATATGTGTATTGTGTGTATGTGTGGTTTAATTAATACGTACGTGTGAAAACAACTAAACTGTGTTTGCATGTGTACGTGATTGTATATGCATGTGATTCTGTATGAATGTGCTAATCGTAAGATTAAGTTTGAAAGAGAAATTGCATAATCAGCAAGTGCTTATGTATGTGTGTGTGTGTGTGTGTGTGTGTGCGTGTATGTGTATATGTATGCGTGTGTGTAAATGTGCGCGTGTGTGTGTGTGTGTGTACGTGTGTGAGTCAGAAATGATTTCATTTTCGTTATCGTCCTACTGTA